GCCTCGGTCTCCCAGAGAGCTAGGATTACAGGCGTGAGCCACCGCGCCTGGCCAACAAAGCTTTTTAAGATTGGTTCTTAGAAATAATTTTGCACCAAAAAAAAGAAATAATTTTGCAGCATCAAGAAATAAAACTATTCAATATTTTTTTGTACAAAAAAATCATATTATGAATAAATGTTTTGTCAAGTGAGAAATACTAGCAAGATGTATATATATAGTGTGTGTTTTCTGGCATCTACTCTAGTCTCAGCACTCTGATCATGTATATATCCTGACATTTATCACTCTGTGATGTCTGCATGCCTATTTGTCTTTTCTTGACTAGCTTATTAGCTTTTAGAGGGCAAGGACAGAATGCTATACACAGATTTCGCCCTACTGTCTAACCCACTGTAATCAGTTGACTATTTATTAAATGAATTTTGAATGAGTATGCTGTTATTCTAGTCATAACAAATTTAAAACATCTTGCTTTTCTCAGTTATTGCCAAAAACAGAAATATTACAATTGAGACAAGCATTAACAGTATCTTATGAAAACATAAATTCTAGGTATCACACAGACTATCTTCTGTGTGAGACAATCTTGGCTGGTTAGCACTGATTAGAGATCATGCTAATGAAGACAAGGCCATGACTTTAATCTCCTTGTGGATCAGTCAGCACTACAGCCACAAGGGAGTTAAGATGAATCAGTAGCACTTCAGGAGAAAAAGTTCAAACTCTTGAGAGTAAATCAGAAAAATCATCACGAAGATGGGCACATCTGTGGTTTTTTTAAAAATCTCACCAAATAAGCTCTAATGCACAAATGTTCTCTGATAGCATTATCATCTTCAGCAGGAAGTGGACTTTCCATTCCTTGTTCTTCCCACTGATTATAGATTTCCGCTATAGAATCCTGAGGGATTTTCACAAATACCTCTTTTGCAGCTTCATGCTTTTTCGATGCTGTGGAAAAAAGATACACAATTTTCAACATTAATGGTCCTCTGTGTAATGATTTCTAAAGGAATCAACTCATTGATTTACAGCTTTTACAGTAAGCTGTAACCATTTCAGGTCCAAACGTACTTCTGTTAAAGGTATTGGTGATTTTGTACCTAATGGATTGCTTTCTTCCTATGTCAATGTGACAGTAATACAAAAGGACACATTAAATACAGTTACATTTACATACTTCTATGTCTTAAAGAAAGCAACTATATTTTTCAAAGTCTGACAGCCTTGACATTGTATACAAAATTGGTTAGGACAATAAAAATTCACTGTTAAATATGTTTTGTTTCATAATACGAAGTTTGATAGATCAAGAGTGGTTGGTTTTCTCCCCCCAGTAGAAGGATTTAAAAAACAAAAAACAAAACAAAATTCAAGAATATATGGATCTGAACAAAAACTTTTTAAAAAAGAATATAAAAATATAGCATACCTAAGAATTTTCTCATTATTGCATTGCCTTGTTTCAGTGCTTCTGCCCTCTGTGCTGGGTCAAATACCAACCAGTCAATTACATCAATCTTTAAACGATCCTCCTGTTCATTTAAGGGGGAAAAAATGAGATAAGAAACATCAGTTTTGTTTTTTTCCAAGATGTTCTGCATGTTAGTAGAATTAACTTATATCTGCACTTCTAGTGAACATCATTTTCCCTCAAGTCAAACAAAATTATGAAAGAATGTAACTGTCCTTATTTTCATATTTAATAGCTTTCTACTATAGAACAAATTTACTAGACTATAAACCTTGAATTATATATTGTATGCCCCTTAACCATGTGATTCCTTTAAGCGCTACTCTAAAACTGTTTTCTTTCTTAGACATAATTTCTATTTCTTTCCAAAGGTAAGAAGCCACCTAAAATAACCTAATGAGCTAAAAAGCCAAAACCCAGATTTTTTTTCTATTAAAGCTTTCTTTAACATAATACTACTAACAAGCAATCCCTTACATAAGAATTTTAATTTGCTGCCAATTTTTACAATTTAAAAGGCCTGGGCTGACAAACATTCTTAAAAAACAAAGAAACTAGCGTAGATCCTTTTGCAGTTCATAAGCTGATGACTGAATGTGAGATGTGCCTCTCTCAAACCTTGTTACGACATTGGCACATTACCTGTCTAATGTGAAAAAGAAAAAAAGAAACTAGTGTAGAACTTCTTTTATTGATATTAAGATAGAAGCTCACCAAGGAACAACATAGGGATTATTAGGAGTTATACAACCTCCACTCTGCCATCCAAATTACCTCAGTAGTGCCAGTGTCTAGGGCTGGGGCCAGATCATGATGACTAAATTCACCATTATCTTTCTTTCGAATATTCTCAACTACAGTTTTTGTTATTGTTGC